TGTGTCTTCGATAGATGGTGCGTTAGAGTTTTTGTTTAGTGATTTCTTTGCGAAGGAGTGGCTTGTGATGGAGGAGCTAACGTGGCACTCGACCCCGCCGTTGTTACTCGAAAAGGTGATTGCTGCAGAGGCTGTGCATCCCTTTTTTAGTGGCCTTGCCGACATGAAGCAGCGATTGCAGCCGACCAAGAATCGTCATCTTTTTGCCTTTTTCCATCCTGCTGTGGTGGAGGAGCCGTTAATCGCCGTTCAGGTGGCCTTAACGCGCGGGATCGCTGGCTCAGTAGATCGCATTCTTGGACGACCATCGCCCCTCGACAATCCGCAACGAGAATTAGGAGATGCATGCACTCATGACACTCGTGGTTGTAATGATGGCAGCTGTAGTGATGGGGTGGACACGGCCATATTCTACAGCATCAACTCCGCTAATTCTGCACTGCGGGGCTTTAATCTTGGCAATTTGCTTATCAAGCGCGTGGTGCGGGAGATTGAGGCGAGACTCAATGCGGAGCGGCGTGCGGAGGGTTTATCTCTGATCACAACGTTTTCCACGCTCTCGCCTATTCCCGGCTACATTCCGTGGCTGACCACACAGGTGGCCAAACTGCAGCAGGACGTTCTTGAATGCCGTGATGGTTCCTCGGCGGGGGGCTTGAAATTTTTAAATCACCGCATCTTTGGTGATTCAAAAGATGATGAGGCTTGCTTGTTTTCACAACTTCGCGAGGCCGTGCTACAATTTGTGAGTCGTCATCCGGATATCCACGCAGATCTTGCCGCACATCTCCTTCCTCAGTGCTCGAATTGCGCAACAGGAGTGGCAAACTTGTTTACCATGCGGTTTTTACTCCGCCTGTTTCAAATGCCTGAAGTTGACACAAATAGCCATCATCATCATCATCATTATCATCCTGCGTGGTGGGAGGACAGTGACCTTACACGTGCCATTGAGTTGCCGTTATTGCGTTCTGTGGCCCATTATCTCTACAAGGAGAAGCGACGAGGTCGCATTCTCGACCAAGTTGGAAATTTTCACATTTCCAACGGCGCAACAATGTGGCGACTAAATTACCTGGGCAACTGTAGCGTCGCTGGCAGCCGTGAGAGTGCTACAGTGATGGTGAACTACCTCTACAACCCAGCACGAGTGAGTGAGCAGGTGAATGCATATGAGGTTCAACGTACCGTCTCTGTTGGGGAGAAGGTCCTGCAGCACCTTGGCAAAATATGAATTTGATCAGAGTGTGGCAACGACGTTTCCTTATTTCTTTTTTCTGTGTGTGTGTGTGTGCAGAAGGGGAGGAGGCGGGTCCATCGAAGAATAGAAAAAAAAGGGTTACGAAATTCCTTCAGTGGAGTGGTGAGTGCCTCTGTAGGTGTGCGTAAAAGCGGTTTCGTTTTGCGTTTGTTGTGTTGACGGTTTTGTTTTACTTTGACAGCAGTGGGGACAATCAAAGTTAGGCGGTATGCCAACGTGGTGCGAGCCACCACACATTATAAATGCAGCAATAAAGAACTTCATCACGTTTCGCGTGAGTGTGTGTATGAGTGCGCGGAGGAGGTCTAGGGAGGCGCTAATGTTGGGAGGGAATAAATTTACTGAAGTTTTCTGGCTTCGATTGTGTGTTTCTAAAGTGTCTTTCTTCTTCCTTATTAAAAACTTTTTTGCACTGCATGCATGCGCATTTATGATCACATTGCACTTTAAAAACAAAAACAACAACAACAACGAAAAAGAGTGGAGGAGGAGGAGGAAGGAGATGTCGGAGTCACAGTCCATGCTGGAACCGATGGAGGCTGCTGCTGGCGCTGGTACCAGTACCGATTGCCTCCTGACGGGCGCGATGCCGTCGTCTACCGCCGTAATTTGCATGCCATCTGTGGGAGAGGAGCCGGGTGACGCGTCAGGAATGACGGCGGACGACGACTCTTTTCCCTCCGTCGCTCAAACAAGTAAAGGACTCGATCTTTTTTCAACTAATTGGGCCACGGCTTCTTTGAGGAGCGGTTCCAGCCCCTCCCCAAATATGGCTCAATTTCTTAAGCTGCCAAAAAACGAACTGACGAAGGAGTGCTTCGCGATGCCGGAGGCAGCCACGCAGCGGGCGGGGTTTCATGGTGGAATTTGGCGCCGCATTCAGTCCTTTTCGCCCCGGCAGGGCAGATCCCGCGATCTGAACGCACTCTCTGTTCTCGATTTGGCGACCATGGACCTTGAGCGGTTAAAGAAGTCATTTCTTGCCCATGCACAGCTTTTCAGTCGAAGCGATTTGCTTGAAATGTACAAAGTGACGAGGAATGTGGCAAGGGAGATGCGCCACGCCGAGCGTCAGGCGGAACGACAGCAAAGAAAGAAGCAAATCCATCGCACAAGCCCTCGAAGAACAACGGATTCTGCAAAGTTATCCGCGACCGCACTGAGCGATCTAGAGGAAGGTCTAGGGGGTGAGAGTGTCGCTTCCATCGCAGAAGAATCTACTACAAATGGTCTTTTGACTGAGTCCGTTCTCTTCCGCAAAGAATATTCGTCCAAAAAGACACGTCTCTTGTGCATTTGGCTGTATGATCGCCTCATGGAGCAGCAGCTTTGCGACTTTAGGAATTCGTCGTCGAGTAGGCAGTGTGACACACTGGGGGGTCATACGAACCTGGTCGCACGCTCGTTTCTTGGGTCTGGGACGAAAATGATGATGCTGAAGCTGCGGGGTCCACCAACACCCCAAAAGTTATTTGGGTTTGACATATTTGATGAACTGAGCGATCGATTGCGAGAGCGCGATCCGAGTTCCTTAATGCTTGCTGCTAATATGTCTATGGACAACCTCCCACTTCCGTTGCCGGTATTTGTTTACGTTTTCAGTCGAGCAGTTTTTCGTGCCTGCTATCTTGATCGGTTTCCGAAGGGGTCATTTAACTTTTCTTCTTCCTCTTCAGTTTCGCCGTTGTTGACAGCAGTCAACAACACTTCCCAACCTGGCACGGGTACCGCCGATGCGGCGAGAAAAGAATCCCGTACACTTGCTTTTAGTGCCGGATACAGCCGTGATGACATGGTTCAGGAAGTCTCAGTTCTTCTTGAGGAATGCCGACATGTTGTGATGCGCTTTTTCGAATTGTTTGATAGGGAGCAGCGGGGTTTTATTACATGGTCGTCATTCACTGACCTGTTGATGGAGCGGGTGGAGGTTCAACATCGTCTTATGGTGGTGAAAGAGAACTCGGAGGCCGATGTGCAGAGCGATGCAAAAGTGTTTGACGAGTATGTTTTGGAGCCCTTTCCATCTGTGATACGGCAACTTGGGTACTTGGGGGCGGTGACCGAAGTGCGTCACAGCCATTCGGCTATTATTGTGGAGGGTCAACATGACTTTGCCGTCTGGGACAGTTTTTATTCTGGCCTTATTTGGCGCAAACTGCTTGTGCGCTCGGCGGATGTTCTTTTTTCGCATCGTCAGGGTGCGCCAGATGAGTGGGATGCCGAACGGTGGGATGCAGCTGCCGACTCCGCGAGGAATTTGCAACAACAACGAAAGTTTAGTCGGCGGATTTTGCGCCATGAAGAAGGTTACAACCACAAGGATGAGTCTCAATTAAAGACGATGAAAAAATCCCGGGGTACCGAAAAAAGGGTCAACGCCGCTGAGGACAATAACTTGTCAGGAGGGACCGGCGATGGTCGCATTGATCGGCGAGCTAAGCCATCGATTGAAAGTGCTCTACAATTGTACAATGTGTCTCCCGAGTTGCCGAAGACGTATGTGACTCTCCACAATGATCTCCTTCTTCGGTTTTTTAACATTGAGCAGCACATTTGGGTGATACCCGAGTCAATTACGGTTTCCTGCACGGAGACCATCACCTCCATGGAGTGGTGCCCGAGCTCCCCAGAGGGGGATCCGACGATGAATTGGTACATGTTCCTCGGGACGCGCTCGGGAGTTGTTTTTAAAGTCGACCTTCGGGAAATTCTACGGAAGTTGCCTCTTTTAAAAAACGTTGGAGGTGATTTCATGACAACAGGCGTGGCAGCCACAAGCACCGTTTGTGAAAAGCTGGGGCCGTACATTTTACAACGTAATAAGATTCACGAGGAATTTATCACGTCCCTCTCACTTACCCCTTTGGGTATTTTGCTTTCCGCTAGCCTTGACGGGAATGTTGTTCTCAGTCGCGCGAGCAACATGACATCACTACGCTCCTTTCGTCTGATGGACGATTCCGGGGTTCGATATGCCTGCATGACACCGCTACGTAACATAATAGTGACGCTGAGTGCCACGAATCGTCTTTCCATTTGGGGGAACACCAATCAAGTTTCTTACCTTGACCTCTACGATCCCATTTCGCCGCACTACTTCCCCATCATCTCTGTCAAGGTGGATGAGAGTTTAGGGCAGCTGATCTCGGTGGACTCCAGCGGTTACGCAAAGGTTTGGAGCCTGCGGACCAATGTTACAAAAATGTCCTTTTACGCGGTCTCTGGAGCGGTTTTCTCTGCTTTTCGTCATATGTACACAGTTGAGAATGCGGTACAACAGAATGGCTATCGTCTTTTTGATGTGGATGAGAAGGAAAAGAAACGCTTTCGACCACAGGGTGATGCCAATGCTCAACATGGGACTCCAGCGATCTTACAAACCACTCTTTCAACCGTGGAGGCGGCGATGAATGCGAAAAGTTTTTATCCAGCGCGTTATGTGGCCTATGATTCGTTGTCGAAGCGATTGTTTGTTTCCGGTGCTAAAAACAACGTTGTTTGTGTATTTGTAAGTGGCTTAGGTGCGTTAAAGGCACATTCCAGTCCAATTTGCCATGTCTCTGTTTGCGAACGTAATCGTTGGGTTTTAAGCGCGTCGATTGCGGACTGTCGATTGTGGAGTTACGAAAAGGGCGCACTGTGCCTTGGCCTGAAGGCAAACAGCCTTGAGTTCGCCATGGTGCGTATGGCTCCTGTATTTGATGATGCAAGCACGAAATTCTCGACGAGTGCCGAGCTTGAGGCTGTTAGCGGGGAAACGGATTGCCACAAATTGGACGCGTGTAAAAAACCATTACCCACCGTAAGTGAGGTTATTAATGCCGTGGGCGCCCGGGCAGTCGCACAGAGAATGGAGCGTAGCGCGAAATGCCTCTCGAAGCGGATGGCATCTCCTGATGAAATGCGACGAACGGCAATGTTGTCAAGACTGGGCAAGAATGTAAACGGTGGAACTTTATCAAATACCATAGGCGACACTGCCATTGGCACCGCTACTACGGTTTCTACGGTGAGTGGGAGTACTGGCGGTGCAGGTAGTGGCAGTGGTGGTGGGGTCGGTGGTATGGGTTTTAGTGGTGGGTCTACCACAGAGAATGATTTGGTGAAGAGTCAAGGAACACTCTACCGAATTCTCTGTGTCCACATTGACATCCAGGAGCATTTTATCTTTTACGCTCTTAATAATGGTGATATTCGTGTCCATCGAACAAATTCTGGACAACTGTCAAAGACACTTGTGACGATGCCTCCTTCTACGGACCTTATTCTTGCTGCAGTGGTTCAATACCGTCACATTTTTACCTCCAACAGGCGGCCCACAGATCGAGGGTATAGCAACATCACTGAGGGCATAGAAACAGCAAGTGGAGTGGCAGGGGCGCAAATACGTGTGCACGAAATTGCCTTCATACTCCATCGTCTCTTGCATCACGAAAGGAAAATTAAGCTTCAGGAGGAGGAAAGCACTTCCATTCACAAGGAGGCCATTGGAATGATGACGACACGAGACGTGAAGGAATTGGGTGTTATGTACGCGGACGGGGTGATTCGTTTTTTCCCACTGATTGGTGGCAGTGTTCACGCACACCGCATTATTATTCCGGAGTTTCTTGTCTCGAGGGCCACATCGTACATGCAGTTGGAGAGGAATCTTCAACGAAGAATGGCGACGCCCTCGCATGAATTCTCTCAAGCGAGTGATATGGAGGAGACCCATAAACGCCAGCTGAATTTTATTGTGGAAGCGGACGCCGTGAGTTTTGTTGCTGTAAGCGAGACGTTGGAGTTTATTTGCCTTGTTCAAGTCAATGGACGCATCTCGATAATGGACATGAAGACCCAGACGGGGGCGGTTGTGCAGGTGTTTACCGTATCGGGAGAGTTGTCGGCAGTTTCTTTTCTCGGTGCGTATCCATGTTTGGTGGTGGCAGAAACACAGGGCACCGTCAGCTTTTTCCTTGTGAAAGGCGCTGCCATGCTTAATTTACTTGAGGACTTTTATAAGTCCCTTGTTTTGCACCGACGGCATCAGCGGGGTAGAAATTCCTTGTTGTTTGTTGACAAGCACCCGATGAATGACATTGACAAATACAGCAACGGTTCAACGTTGCGTATGTGGTGGTTTTGCGTCCCTGGTACCCCAACAGCACTCCACTTTGACCCCATTTACGGTGCACTGTATATTGGTACGCGTCAGGGATATTTCTCTTCCTACCTCGTGCGTAACTTGATTGTGGCATTTGATCTCCACCCCATTATTAATGTCAGCAGAGCAGGAAAATCGTTGGATCCACCCATGACCTCCACACGGCAATTCCATGACTCGAATGAGCCGCGTCTCCTCAATGTGTTGTTGGTGTTCTTTGGTATAACACCAGATCGCGTGATGCGATACCTTGAAACAGAGCGACCCTCCTCTGCGACACTTGGGCGAGAATTGAAACACACCGCAAACAGCACAGGTTACTCTGTGTCGTGGAGGGGAGCCGATTCTCCACTTTTATCCCCTGCGCCGCGTGCTAAACCAAACATTTCATCCCCCGCAGACAACGTGAGAAGCGACAGGGGCGCCGCGATGGCAAGGTTTCGGAAGGGTTCTCTTTCGTGGATCTTTGAAGCCTGTAAACCGCTGTTTTTTCCAGCATCGTCAAACATGTCAGCACGGCAGTTTCCGGAGACTGCAAATCTTCCATTTGATATTCTAACAGTGACGCTTTCGGAATTACTTGTTGGGGCTGCGATCCTCCGCCATGCACTACTAATTATGTCAATGATGTCAGACTTTTCCTCCATGAGGAAGCCGTCAATGGCGAATGCAGGCGAAAGTTTTACTTCTTTTGCCTCTTCTGCCTGCCATCATTACGCAGCTGTCTCACTTACCTTGAGTGATATACGACATATTCGGCAATGCATCGTGGAGGAAATTCGTTATCGGAATGGGTCTGTGGGGACCGGAACAGAGCGGCAGGATTCTCCGACATCTGATGGTTTACCGGGCGGGTTTTGCGAGGTGGAGGAAGAGTTTGATTTTGATATGGTGCGAGACAATTCGTATGTGATTCCAGGCACCATTGCGGACAATTGGGTGGAGTTTCTCTTTCGCAGACATGTGGTGCATTCAGTGAATGATTCCCCATTGACTTTGTTGTCACCGAGTGCCACATTGGAGCGTGCCCGTTGTGAACGCTATGAGCGTTGCAAGTTACTGCAACTTCAGTATGATTTGGAACGAGAGGCACAAAAGGAATTTGTTGGAACCTCGTGGATGAACACAACTACCCCTGGACAAGCCACAGCCATCACCGTTGACTGGAATGCGTTTATGGAAGGAACTGGAACACACCTTCTTGAGGAGGCTTTTCGCCGTCGCCGCGGTGAGGGCGCCGGCGAGGAGGACTTTTTAAATCCACTCGATGATTTTGGTGGTGTACGGTGTATTAAAACACGACGCAATGGTTTGTTGTTTGTCGGGAGTGCGAATGGCTCCGTTGCGGTCTGGACCACGTACGGTGGGGCGCGGATACAGGAACTGTGTCCAAGCATGTTACTGAAGGAGAGCCTTCGTTGCCTGGGGGGGAAATTAAAGATGCGGCTTGCCCAGGAGGTGAGTCGCGTAAGACGACGCCGACAAAGAGAGGCCTATGCGACCTCATCTCACAACGCGAAGGATCACGACACAATGTTGCGTAACTTGAATGTAAAGTACAAGGCGGCCATGATGAGAAACGAGATGGTTCGGGAGGGCATTTTGGGAAACAGCATCACTGAATTCGGAGGCTCGAGTAATGAAACCATGTCATCGTTGAGCACCAACGAGAGACAGCAAAAAATTCAACGTACTTTTCCGAAAAAAACTTCCTCAGTTCAACTGACAACCGACATTGAAAGGACACGTTCACGGCTTGTGAAGGAAAAGGAGGTTCTTTTGGCATTACTGAATACTACCCCAAGTGAAGCTTCGGAGAGGGGCATTCTAATGGAGGATCTATACTTCTTGCCCATGCACACGACAATGTTATCAGAGCTTGAAGAGTTTGATTTGGTTGCGTATGATCTTGCTGTCGATATTGCCGTGAGACGTCTTGAGCAGGAGCTTTGCCCTGGAGCTTTTGCGGATGATGCAGGGAATGTATCTATGGCAGGCAGTAGACATGGCAGCGTCTCCGATACCCATCCTACCGGCCTTGGTGATGAAGCCAATTTTAACACTATGCAAATGGGCTCTGCTCAGTGGGGCGGCAGTTTTTTCGGAGGAGAATTTGGAGGTGAATCGATGCAGGAGGACTTACACTCATTTTTAATTGCGGCACACGAGAAACTACAATCCGCCTTTTACGCAGAGGAGCTGTCGTATATGCGTTGGAAGGCGGCCGCCTCTTATTCCAATTTGCCCAAACTGGGTACTAGGCGTCGAAGGATGAACGGAGGAGGATCCCTCACATGTATGGAGTGGCAACGCTCCATTTTTAACCAATACACCGCGGATCTTTCACAGACCAGTAGCATGTCGTGGAATTTGCCACACGAGCGGAATCTTCCTTCGTACGCGCGGCCTGGAAGATGTTTAGGGCCTGGTGTCATTACGGTTGGACTCTCCACGCGACAGGAAAGGCGTCTTAAGGGCTGTTTTGGGTTGGAGCTGGAGCGCATGGCGAAAGAGTCACGTTGGCATACTGCGGATGAAGCAATAGAGAGCATTTCGGGACAAAGTAAAGGATTGTTGCCGGTCGAGTCACTTGCTGGGCTTTCAAGATCTCTTGCGCAACGGCCATCGAGGAATACAAGGGTGAATTGCCCCGTGGAAACATTCCCCACAGGAAAAAAAGAAAAGAAGTGGGAGGCACAGCAACAGAAAACCACCAGGGCGGTTTTAGAACCCGTTTTGCTCCTGGTAACTAGCCGAGAAAATGATAGCAGTAGAGACAGCAATAGTAATGATTATTCTCGGCGGCAATCGGGCGATTTACGCTCACCTGCTGAGGTTTCTTTGGTTTTGAGCGGAGTGGACAAAAAGCGGAGGCCGGATGAAGAGAGCGGCGGAACAAAGGAGCGATACTTCTTTTTTCTCACCGAGGAAAATGCGGGATTATCTTCGGTGGAGGGGTCATCACTGACGCCTCCCGCAGTCTTGTCGCCCGCGGGCTCGGGATTTCGTCAGGCATTCCGACCTGCACCGAGAAGAACCTCAACTTCTATCTTCTCCGCACGTACGGAAGACGATGATAGTTCTGACGCTGCGCCCGGGGTGTTGATGCAGTGGCAGTTGCACAAAAAGGACCATTCGCATCGGGCCAAGCTTTCCCGGACTGGCCGCGTGGCGGCAACGCAATCAGGATGTCAACCAATAGTCAAACTCGGCAAAAAATCCTTTTTTGCCTCCCGTGACGGTGCCGATCTCCATGTGGGGACGTCTCAAGGCGCCTCCTGTTCACGAAGTCCCATTGGTGTTCGACTGGACTTATCGGATCCACTCATGTTTCCCATTTCGTTTCAAGGGGGCAGCAGTCAAACAAAGGTTGGCTTGGGCCCACACAGTGACCGTGCGCAAACTCCCGAGAGTTTCCTGCTGCCGCTTTTGAGTTCCGGTGGCGGGCGGGATTCACCAGCAACGCAGAGGGCGGAGTCACCTCTGTCACAGAGAAGGCAGAAAAATGGGGTGGCGAACAAGCGCAAGTCACGACGTGGATGAGTAGGAGTGTGTGAAACACTGGAAAAACAAATAATATCGGCGAGCAGCAGGGGGGGGGGGGGGGAGCCACAACGTACGGGCGAGTTTTGTTCTTCTTGGGCGTCTTTAATAATTTCACACATGATATGTACAAAAAAAGAAAAAACAGAGAGTGTTGAGAAAAGTCACGGAAAAATCCAAAGAAGAAGAGCAAGAAAACACCCCCCTTCCCCCCCAGTTAAGTATTGTTGGTTTTATACCCTTTCAGGTGATTTTTTTATTTTTATTATTTCGGATTTTATCCGTTTTAGTCTTTTTTTCTTTTTCTTCTCTTTATTCCCATATATATATATATATATATATATAAATGTATTCATGCATCTCTGTGCCACCTTGCATTTCTATGAACCGCTACAACTGGGAGTCGCCGTATGTCCTTGAGGTCGCTGGCATGTTGTCTGCTTTGCACAGTGAAGGATGTGGTGGTTAGCAGGGAAGAAGAGAGAAGGAGTGAGTGTGTGAGAATGGCTGGAAAAAATCGTAACAAAAAGCAGCGATGTGTACTTGCATGTATGTATGTATTTGTGAGTGTTGTTTACTTTGTTCATTTCGCTTCTTTTTTTTTTTTTTTTTCCTTTTGCTGAATTTTTATACTTATTTAATTATACGCCTATGTTTTGATGGCTTCTTTTTTTTTTTTTCTTTGCTGTAAATATTTGCTTGTAGAGAAACCCTTTTTTTTTTTTTTATCTCCTCATTTCTCTCTCTCTCTCTCTGTGTGTGTGTGCGGTGCATTTATTTTATTTAATTTATTTTTTTTTTTTTTACTTCGGCTCCGGCCCGGTGCGCCGTGAGGGAATCCACACACAACGGGGGAAGCCTTGACGTCTCTTTTTTTTTTTTTTCTCTTTTTTTTTTTTTTTCTTTTTTTTTTTTTTCCCGGGGAAAAAGCGACGTTCAAAAGAAAAAAAAGAAAAGGGTTGGAGTCGGCAGAGAAGGAAGAAAGAAGGACAAAAGTAAAAAGGGGGGGGGGGGAGGAGAAAAAAGGAGGAGAAGACCAGCTTTTGTTTTCTCTTTTCTTTTTTTTTTTTCTTTTCTCTCTGTGTGTGTGTTTGACGCGTGTCAGCCTGTCCGCGATTGAGACTGCACACGAAAAAAAAAAAAAAAAAGAAAATTCAGTTTTTTTTTTTTTTTTTTGCGGCAGTCACGGGAGGAACGGAGGCTGGTGTCGTGCGCGAGTGACTGGGAAGGGTGCACCGCAGGGGATTTCTCGTACTGCGCTCCCCCCCCTCTCTCCCACAGGCACACGCATACACACATTACGGTCTGAAAGGCAGAAAAGAGGCATTACGCACGCAGAAAGGGGCTTGGGCGCTTACAGGGCGATACGGAGTGAAGTACACACACACAAAAAAAAACACATTTGGCCACGACAGCGCAAGAAACGGAAGAAACGACAAAAAACAAACAAACAAACAAACAAGCAAATACGGAAAAAGGAGGACTTGAAAGCAAAAAAGCAAACAACGGAACATCTACGAGTCCCAATTTCCTGGATATATATACATATACGTATACGCGCACACATATAAACACACATACACCCACGTATTTATTGCCCTTGCGATATATATACATATAGGCTTTATTTACAGGTCAGCGCCTAAGAAGGGGCTCGTTAGGAAGAAGAATAATAACATTCTTTGGAGGTGAAGTGGACATGACAGGGTGTATGTCTGCGTGTGATATGGACGCGTTTTCTTTCTTTGTGCGAAGTGAAGAGAAAGGGGGCACAGAATGCATGTCAAAAAGAAGTTATCGAAGCCCCCTCGTGTTGGCTTCTGGGGTAGGGAAATATGGAATAATATACCCCGACTCCGAATGCCTCATTGCGGATGCGTTTCAGTTTTGTGACAAACCGAGAAAACAGGCAGAAGTGATGAATGCGGGTGAATGCGGTCAAATAAACACTGGAGGAGAGATGATGTTAAAACCGTGGGCAAATCTACAGGAGTTGATTCCCCCACCGACTGTGCGCCTCTCCCGCCAATTGCTTGGCCGAGGCCGGCAAGCTGCAGTGTGGCTTTGCGAGGACACCAGGCGTTCCGGGGTATACTATGCGGTGAAGACGATTGAGATGCCATTCTCGACATCTATTCCAGTGCACCAGATAGTCAAAATGCTGAACCGCGCCCCTGATGGCCGGATGAATTTGCCCTACACCACATCTCCTCAGAAAATTGTAATGGAGGTCGGTCTTGAGGAGGAGGCACGCCTTATGCATGGACTTCGTCACTCTGGTCTTGTACAGCTGCATGGAGTGGATACGGAAATTGGGAACGAGGGCATTGCTGTTTGCCGACTTTATTTGGAATACATGTCATGTGGTTCGCTCTTGTCGTTTGTCCGTCAGCACTATGAGGCAGGGCGATTGCGTGAACGAGCATTGCGCTGGTTTCTAAAGCCCATTGTTGAAGGTCTTTGCTACATGCATGCAAATGATGTGGTGCACCTGGACGTGAAAGCGGAGAACATTTTGGTCAAGTGGGCCGATGAACATGGGGACGAGTGTAGGGATTGTATCAACTCCCCGCGTCGTTTTCCTGTGACAAAGTTGGGGGACTTTGGCTGCGCACGCTACATTGGCAGGAAAGCTTCCACCTATAGTAGTAATACGAACAACAGGAACAGGTACAATACACGGGCCTTAGGGCAACGATACGGTGAAATGCCTTCTGGTACCCCCGGGTTCATGGCACCGGAAGTTGTTTTACAGCCTCATACTACGTCCGATGCGTGCAGCCCGGCAGCAGATATATGGTCACTTGGTTGCACCATTCTACAACTCCTATACGGCGCGCTTCCTGTACATTCCGAATTAAACGTTGCCGCTATCCTTTTTGAAACTGCCATGCATCCTGAGAAAATTCATCGTTTTATTCCACCCGCTAGGATTGAATCTGACACGTCTAGTGTGATGACATCCATGCCCTTAACGAAGTGTCGTGAGGATGTCTTCATTTCCATGACGTTACGGCATTTGCTTCTGCAGTGCCTGCAGCCGGACGCCAGTAAACGTGCGACCGCGGCGCAACTATTGCAGCACCCATTCTTCCAGCAACATTGCAACTCTGCGGATGCCGCTGAGGGTCTTCTTGACCCGCATCTTTTTGATGTTTACAGCAGTCAATGCGGTTTTCAGAATGAAAGTTTTTTGTGTGGGACTTCAGGAAGCCTCATCAGCACGCACATCGATGGTCTTTCGATCAGCGATTGGAGCGACGACGAAGAAGACGACACCGATGACGATATGATGATCGATCGCTAACGTGCGTGTTGCTGCCTTTGGCCGCCAGCGCTATATATATATTACGTTGACCCTTTTTTTTCTTCTTTTTTCCATTCCTACAAACACTTCTTCTTCTTTCTTTTTTTTTTTTGGGGAGGGGGGGGGGCTGCAACAGAAGGATTTTTATATGCCTCCACGTTATTTGACGCATGGCGGCTTTTTCTTTCTTTCTTTCTTTCTTTTTTTTTGTTCTTATGAGCAGCTGAATTTAATGTAAGGAAGACGTTGCAGCCTTCAATTACTCTTCCCTTTTCTTTTTTTTTCCTTTTTTTTATGCCTTTTCTCTCTTTTTTTTTTTTCCTTTTTTTGCTTCTTCATTCCATGTTAGTTTCTGTTTTTTTTTTTTTTTTTTTTTTTTTTTTATATAACCCACGGTCAATACTTATATTTATTTATTTATTTATATATTTTGCTTTTCCACCCTTCTCTCGCGAAAAGAGGACCGTTTTTTTTTTTTTTTTTGTATTCGGTTGGGGTGATGGAGTGAGTGTGCATGCGTGTTGCCTTGCATTCTGTGCCCCCCTCCTCTCCCTGTGTGTCTGCGTGCATGGCCGCCAGCGAATGGGGTGCGGAATGGGGGTAAAACAAACGAAACAACAAACAAACAAAAAACAAAAATAACGGGAGGAGGCGACACGACTGGAGCGAAGTACGGCAGCACGCATGCAGGTGTGAGGAAGCATGAAAAAAAAAAAAAAAAAAAAAATAAATTTAAAACCGTCTCCCTCATGTCTTTTTTTTTTTTTCACTTTTTTTGTTATTTTAGAAGCCATACGGGCTGTGCGAGGGAGGGAGGGGAAATGAAACGTGAGTGTTGCTCTTATGAAATGCGGTGCGTGATTATGACGCGAATTGCAGTAACGCTGGACTCCGCACTTTCTTTTCTTTTCTTTTCTTTATTTATTTGTTTGATTGCTGTACTTTCTCTCCCTTTCTTTGTGTGTGTGTGTGTGTGTGGTGTTGGGATTATCCTTCTGTCTGCATGGCCGGACTGTGTATTGTATGAATCATGCATTGCCTCTGCGTGTGTGTTTTTATACACATATGGGGCAGGTGTGTGTGTGTGTGTGTGTGCATGTGTGGGTTAAAGAAACGGGAGGGATGTGACTGCAAGGCTCCGCCTGCGTCCATA